TACTCTATATTCTAACCAAATACACCTTTCTTTCCATTCTTTACAAATGAAGTTCCCATCGCTGTAACTTTACCCAGGTTCTCTTCTGGGCCACCTTCTCTTTCCCCTTTATACTATCTCATGTGGTGAACTCATCAGCTTCGAAGGCACAATTACTATCTTTATGCAGATAATTCACAGGTCTACATATAAGACCCTAAGCTCTCTGTGTAGTTTCATTCCTACATTAGCCACTACCAGGAGGCATTTCAAACTGGATGTGGGCATGTCAAACTCAACATATCCAAAACAGAACTCATTATCTTTCTTAACTCCCCTCATATTGTCAGGTAATCCTCAACTTCTCACTCTCACCCACCCCACATATCCACCCTGCTGCCAAATTATTTCATTTCAACCTCCACAATGTCTGTGGTATAAATGCCCTTCTCTCCAATCTCACAACCACTACCCTAGTGCAAGCCCTCATCACCTCTCATCTGGACTATTATAATAATCTTCTAATTGGTCTCCTTGCCTCAAACATCTCTCTACTCCAGTCCATTCTCCTCAGCTGACAAAATGATTTTCCTGAAGTGTAAGTCTAACCAGATCACCCACCTATCAAAAACTCCAAGGTTTCCCTGTTACTTCCAGGATCAAATATAAAGTCCCATATTGAAATTCAAAGCTTTTCATAAGGACTTCCCAGGCCAAAGCCAAGATGGTGGGGCGAAGAAAGCATTCAGCCAAGCTCCCCCAACATACTTCTCCAAGCAACTTTAAAATTGTGCCTCAAATCAAATTCTGGAGAGCCAGAATAAACAAAAGTTAGGGTGAGACACTTTTCCAGCCCAAAACAACTAAGGAGGTCAGAAAGAGAGATCTCTGACACGGGGGTAAAGGCTGGACTGAAGCCCATGTGAATGAAAACACCAGTGGTGGGACAAGGTGGTGGCGACAGAAGCAGCTGCAACTGAAGGAGATCTCAAGCCAGAGATGGTGAAGGGACCTGGAAACCGGTCACCAAGAAATTTACAGGGTCTCCTGTGTTAGTACTGAATGCATAATTAGAAGATGTCCGGCAAGCCCATTGCCTATACTCACTTCAAGGTCACATTTCAAGGGCAGAGAGGAGTATTTTCGGTCAAGAGGGATCAGGGGCCCTGAGCAACAGTATCGCTTTTGGTCTCAAGGGATCAGGGACTCTAACAAGCAGTATCACTTTAGATCCCAAGGGAGCAGGGGCCCTGAGAAGCAACATCAATTGTAATCCAAAGAGACGAAGGACCCTTCCTGAGTAAGGACCAGAGCACAAACTAGGAAAGCAGAAACCACATCCCTCCCCAGATCACACCGCGTTGGAAGCACCAAAAACCTCCAAACCCACAGAACCAGCTCTGGAGAGAGAAAGGCATAAAAAGTCTGAAGCCTGGGACATTGCCCTCTTTCTCTCCATACATAAGGAACAGGGCCCAACCTTAACATAAATTCAAAGTCAAGAAATGGGGTGGAACAATGAGCAAAAAAAAAAAGAAAGAAAGAAAAGAAACCGACCATAAAAAGCTATTATGATGACAGGGCAGATCAAGACACAAACTCAGAAGATAACGGTGTCAAAACAGCTACAAGCAAAACCTCAAAGGAAGACAAAATGTTAACTGGTCACAAGCCCAACAAGAAGTCTTAAATGAGCTAAAAAAGAATTTTCAAAATCAAATAAGAATGGTCAAGGAAAAATTAAATGAGAGTGAGGGAAGAAAAATATAAATAATTAGCAATTTAGTAAAAAGAGGTACAAAAAATACTGAAGAAAATAACACCTCAAAAAAGAGATTTGGATAAATGGAAAAAGAGGTACAAAAGTTCAATGATAAAAATAACTACTTAAAAAGCAAAATTCGCCAAATGCAAAAAGAGGTACAAACATTCACTTAAGAAAATAATTCCTTAAATTAGAGTTGGGCAAGTGGAAGCTAATGACTCCATGAGACATCAAGAAACAATAAAACAAACTCAAAAGAATGAAAAATAGAAAAAAATGTGAAAAACAACTGAACTGGAAAACAGATTTAGGAGAAATGATTTAAGAATTACTGTACTACCTGAAAGCCATGATCTCCCCCCAAAAAAGAGCCAACACATCATTATTTCAAGAAATTATCAAGAAAAACTGCCCTAATATCCCGAATGAGAGGGTAAAATAGAAATTTAAAGAGTCAACCAATTACTACCCCTAAAGAGATCCCAAAATGAAAACTTCCAGGAACATTATAGCAAAATTCCAGGGTTCCCAAGTCAAAGAGAAAATACTTCAAGTAGCCAGAAATAAATCATTCAAATATTGTAGATCCACAGTTGGGGTCACAAAAGATTTTGCAGCTACCATGTTAAAGGATCAGAGGGTTCAGAGTAAGATATTCTGGAAAGCAGTTTTACAATCAAGAATAACCGACTTGGTAAAACTGAGTATAATCCTTCAAGGGGGGGAAAAAATTAATATTTAATGAAATAGAGGACTTTCAAGCATTCCTGATGAAAAGACCAGAGTTGAATAGAAAATCTGACATTCAAATATAAGGTTCAAGAGACGCATAAAAAGGTAAACATGAAAGAGAAATTACAAGGGACTGAATAAGGTTAAACTCTTTACCTTTCTATATGAGAAGATGATACATGTAACTTCTAAGAACTTTATTATTATTAGAGCAGCTAGAGGGATTTTACAAAGACAAAAGGTGTGAGAGTGACTTGATTATGTTGAGAACACGTAAAAAAAATGGATGGGTAAGAAAGAGGAATGTCCCAGGAGAAAGGGGAAGGGAGAGAAAGAAGGAGGAAAATTATGTCACATAAAAGAGGTGCGCAAGGAAGAGTTTTTACAATAGGGGGGAAATGGTGAAACATGGAGGCAGGCAAGGCTTTAACTTTACTTTCATTTAAATAGGTTCAAAGAGGAAAAATTATATATACATATATACTTATGTATGTGTGTGTGTATGTATGTATGTATGTATACACACACACACACACATACACAGATACCCAAAAACATACACACACACACACATACAATACACACACTCAATTAGATACAGAAATATATCTCACCCAACAGGGAAGTAAAATAGGAGGGAAAGGGAATAAGGAGGAAGTGGGGCAGTGGTAAGAAAAGGGAAGGTATACAAAGGAAGGCAGTGGTCAAAAGCAAAACATACTTAAGAGGAGGAGGGACAGGATAAAAAGCAAGAAAGAAAGATAAACAGAAGAAAATACGACGGAGGAAAATGCACAATTCATAATTATAACTGTGAATGTAAATGAGATCCATAAAATGGATGCAGATAGCTGAAAGGATTATAAATCAAATTCAACAATATGTTGTTTACAAGAAACACATCTGAAATATAGAGACACATAAAAGTGTTACCAAAAGGGGTTGGAGCAAAATTTATTATGCTTCAGTTGAAGGAAAAAAGGCAGGGTAGCAAAAAAATCCAGGAAGACTTTTATGAACTTATGCAAAATGAAATGAGCAGAACCAGGAGGACATTGTACACAGTAACAGTAATATTGTAAGGATGATCAACCGTGAAAGATTTAGCTACTCTGATCAACAAACAATCAAATGATGCAACACAATTCCAAAGGATGCATGTTGAAAAATGCCAACCACTTCCTGAAAGAGAACTGATAAACTCTGAGTGCAGATTGAAACACACTTTTTAAAACTTTCTTTATTTTTCTTGCTTGTGTATGTTTTCTTCTGCAACATAGCTAATATGGAAACATGTTTTGTATAATTTCATATATATATTTATATATGAGGAAGAGAAAGAGAATTCGGAACTCAAAATTTTTTAAAAAATGTTTAAAAAATTTTACATGCAACTGGGAAATATATAACAAAACATATAAAAATACACATAAAGCTTTTCTTTTTTCTTTTTTTTTGCTTTTTTGGTGAGGCAATTGGGGTTAGGTGATTTGCCCAGGGTCACACAGCCAGTAAGTTTCATCTGTCTAAAACTGGATTTGAACTCACGTCCTCCTGACTCCCAGGCTGGCGCTCTATCCACTGCGCCACCTAGCTGCCCCTACATAAAGCTTTTCATAACCTGGCCCTTCCTACTTTTTCAGTTTTACTACTCTTTACTTCTCCCCCTGCCCCCCATTTCATGTACTCTTAAGATTCAGCAATATTAACCTACTTGTTGTTCCCTATACATGACATTCCATTTTCCATTCCCATACCTTTTCACTACTAATTGTTCCCTATTCCTAGAATGTCTCTCTCCTCAACTCCACCCCCTAGTTTTCTTGGCTTACTTCAAGACTCAGCAAAAATCCCTTCTTCAAGAGGACTTCCTGGTCCCTCTTGCTATTACTGCTGTCCCCTCTGAATTTTGTCACCTGTGAAGTCTCTATATCAATAACATAACAAATCCAGCCCCTATTCCTAAGTATCATCTTACTATTTCAGGCAATGTTTCAATTTTGCTTTTGTATTCCCATCACTTAGCCGAGTGCTTAGTAAAGCTTTAATATATGCTTTTTCATTCATTCAATCGTGTCAATATCAACCCATTAATAATTCAATTTATGAACCAACCTAAAAAAATAACAGTGTATAACAGCCATGAAGATCTGACTCAAGAACACATACATCTGCTCTGAATCTTCAAACCTTAAAATATGTGAAAGATTGCAAAATTCACATAAAGCTCATATATGAAAGCATAATTCAGTACCACAACATTCTTCTCTTCCATACATTTAATCTAAACAATTTTTTTATTAAATAATTCTACTATTTTGCTATTACTCCATTAGGAAAATTCTAAGAGTTACAGATCCTATTTCATTTCCATGAGGCTCTCATCAGCTCAGACCACTTCTGCACCTTAAATCACTGATCATAGACAAACTTAAAAAACAGCTCAACCCTAGAAATTATATTCAAATATGACATTACTTAACATTGAATCATACATTTAAAGTATGAATTTTGACCAACTTACATTTTCTATGACAAACGTCCATTCTTTATCTTCAAACTCCTCAGCATGTGGATCCTAAAACAAAAATTGAATATAATTAGTTAAAAAAAATTTTTAAAGTTCCTTTGGATTTTGTTAAGCTTATAAATAAAGTTACTTCTTTTTCTACCAATACTTTTTAAGTTTGGTCCAGTCGGTAACAAAATGGGCAACCCAAAATGATCTTAAATTTTTTTTACCTTTTACCCCAATAGCCTTCCTCTAATTAAAATGACACATTACCTTTTGCCCTAAAACTTTTCAGATATTTTTGATAACAATATTTGTTTTTCCAGAATGCTTAAAATAGTCCTATTTAGAGATTAAGTTGGTCAACAAATTTAGAAAATAATGTAAAAAAAATCAAAGACGTTCTGAAACTATCTCCTGAATTATAGGAAGTTACATAGATATTTCAAAATCCTCCTTTGGTATTTCAAAAGATCTGTAACTGTATCAATAGTATCTTTGAGGTATAATGAGTTAAATCTATAGTTTTAGGTCTGGAAGTTCACAAAGTACCTTGAATCTACAGATCTAAGTTATTGAGTTGGACAATGGAAGGGGAGAGGGGAGAGAGAGAGAAAAGGGTACACGGGCAAGGGAAGGGAGAAATAAGTGAAAGCGGCATTATATTCACACAGAATATTTCAGTGCCCAACTCTGTACCTTTGCACGTCCCCTCATGCCTGGAATGTTCTCCCCTATCGTCTCCATTTTTTAGAATTTCTAGTTTCTTTGAAAAAGAACTGAACCCAAGTAACAGCTTTTACATGAAGCCTTGCTGGTCGCCCAATGTGTTAGTGCTTTCTCTCACAAAATCACCTTGAATTTATTTTGTACATTTGTTGCATGTAATAATATATGTATATGTTGTCTCCCTTTGTAAACATAATCTTGTGACATGAATGGTTTTATTTTTGTCTTCATTTCAGCAGTTACTAGCACACAGCAGACACTCAATGTTTGCTAATTGATTGCTCCACCCAACCACCACCTTTCAAAATCCTTTTTTTTTTCTACAACTGCCATAAATATTTATTAAGTACCTACTAGGTATAAAGTACTATCATAGACACTGCAGGATATATACAAATAAGGTTCAGTGCCTCAAAAGAACTGAAAAATCTAGCAGACTTAGGCATAGACACTACTCCTTCAATGAAGTCTCTAAGGTACAGCTTCGCCATTTATTATTTCTACAATTGCAAAAACAAAAATCTCTATAAACAAGGAATGAAATCAACTAGTCTTTTTTGCATTCTTCCTTCCACCCTTCATTATCTACTTTGTTTACTACTGAACTAAAGACAGATACTGAAACACTGTAGCTTGATTTCATAGCTCCCTCCAAACTGGTGCCCAGTCATTAAAAAGTAATTTTTACTTACTAAAAAAAAGGTAATTTCCAATCATTTAAAAAGGTTTTAATACACAAAATTAAGGTGGAAACTTACTTGGAAACAAGAAAAATACTGGCATTTCAAAAACTGATTTCTGTATTTATGAATGACTCAATGACAATTTACAGACTATGGACATAATGATTCATTATTAGCACAAAGCAGTTCTTATGTTAGTTACAGATTTAAAGAAAACAACACACAGTTAGGTTATAAATATGAAAAAGTAGCAGGAAGGGGACTACTGAAGAATTTTTACTTGAATACTGAAATTTTCTGGTCAAAAATAGGGTCCCAGAACAGTCAGGAAAAGATACAGAGAATTTTATTTTAGTATTCCTTTTCTCTTAGGACTCAAGACAAAGATGGAAAAAAAAAGCTTCATTTCAAAATACTCATATAATGATACTTTTTAAGTAGACTAGATCTGACAGAAGTAAAAAGACTATTCTGCTTCAATAGGACAAGTCAGAGAAAGCACACTAATATAGCAATCAACCATTTTCTCCCCAAAAATGTTGTCAACAGAGCAGCCCTAAAGGGTCCACAGGTGATTGTATGTCCAAGGAAGATACTCCTAATATTTTCAGTGGTACTTCCTAGACTATTTCCTCAAGATAGGTAGTATCACATTTCAAGTATCACTCACAAAATCATGGTCACTTGGTATTATTTCCTCAAATACATCACTATCTATCTGGAAATCTGCTTCATTTTTACCATTCTATTCAGATAAATATTTTACTAACTACCTTACAGGGGTCATATAACCTACATATGATTGTCATGAAGAAACACTTTATGAATGTTGTCATTATTTGTCTTTCTTATTCAAAGAGGACCAATGACATCACAGGGTGATGCCTTGATTCATGCATGACTGGATTTAAGTGAGACAGATTTGGGGGCAGCTAGGTGGCGTGGTGGATAGAGCACCGGCCCTGAAGTCAGGAGGACCTGAGTTCAAATCCGGCCTCAGACCAAAACACTTGACACTTACTAGCTGTGTGACCCTGGGCAAGTCACTTAACCCAAATTGCCTCACAAAAAAAAAAAAAAAGTGAGATAGATTTGCACTTTAGGAAAATCACTTTGGTGCTTGAATGGAGAATGGATTTGAATCAGGGAGACGCTTGAGGAAAGCAAACACACCAGCAGGCTACTACAATAATCTAGGTATAAAATGATGATGGCCTACACTAGAGTGGTGGCAGTATTAGAGGAAAGAAGGGGATGTATTCAAGAGATATTGCAAAAATGACATCAATAGAACCTGACAACAGCTAGGATGGGGGAGGTGAGAGAGAGAGGAATCCAAGATGACTCTTATGTGAGCCTGAGGGACTACTAGGAAGATGCTGTTGCCTTCTAAAGTAATACAGAGTATAAGATGTTTACTGGACATGCAATTAAAGATGTCTGAAGGGATGTTGGAGATGCAAGATTAGAAGTCAACAGATTGGGATAGGAAAAGTAGATTTCAGAATCATCAGCAAAGAGGTGGTAATTAAATCCATGGGAGTTGATAAGATCACCAAGTGAAATAAGAAGGAGAAAGAGGATTCAGGATATAATCCTGAGGGATATTTATGTTTAGAGGGCATGAACTGGATGAGATCCAGAAAAGGAGACAGAAAAGAAGCATTCAGACAGGTAGGAGGAAAACCAGGAGAAAGTGCTGTCCTGAAAACCTACAGAAAAGAGAGTATTCAAAGAGGAGAGTGTGATCAACAGTGTCAAGGCTGCAGAGAGGTCAAGGAGAACAAGGATTTAGAAAAGGCCATTGGATTTGGCAACTAAGAGATCATTACAGAAAGTTATTTCTGTGGAATGATAAGATCAGAAGCCAGATTTTAAGGAGATAAGAGATTGAGAGGACAGAAAATGGAAGCACTTTCCATAGATGGCCTTTTCAAGGAGCTTACCTATAAAGGACAAAAGATAAATAAGATAATAGTTAGCAGGGATGGAAAGATCAAGCGAGAGTTTTTTTCAGGATAAGGGAGACATGGCACATTAACAGACAGCAGGAAATGAACCAGGAGACAGGGAGAGATTGAAAATAAATCAAAGAGTGGTGATGACAGAGGGGGCAGTCTGTTGGAGGAGATGGGATGGAAAGCGATCACTTGAATAAGTAGAGGGGTTAGCCTAGGTAAGGAGTAAGGACACTTCATCACATGAGACAGGGGTGAAGAAGAACATGGCAGAAGGCATCTAAGTGATAGAAGACGAGGAGGAGGGGAGAAGAGGGAGTTCACAGCAAATGGCCTCAACTTTTTTCTGTAAAATATGAGGGATGATTCTCAAATGAGAGACTGGGGCAAGGGGGAACCATGAGAAGTTTAAGGAAAGATGAAAAGTTTTGGAAGAGCCACTGTGGAGAGTGGGATAGTGAGCTGATAAGGGAGGTATAGGAAGATTGTCTAGCAGCAGTAAGGGTCCAGTTGAGGTCATATAACATAAATCTGTACTAGACCCAGGCAGAAAAGTTCCATGATTTTCTCCACCTTCATTCCATAGCACATATATAGGGACAAAAGCAAAGGCAACAAATGGTGGGAGTGATCCAAGGTTGAGGCTTGATTTGACATAATCAGCGATATGATAAAGGGGCTAGGAATTCAGGAGAGGAAAAGTGTAGAGTTAAATTGGTTCACCAAAGGGTCAAGATGGAGAGAAGAGGATTGAGTGACTAGTGCAGGAAAGACAGCCTAGGAGAAAATTGAGGGGTCAAGAGATTGGAGGTCATGGTAAGGATGAAGAGTAAGATAATGTAAAGGAAGTCAGAGGGAAAGGTAAAAAGCCAACAGGTTATGGTCAGATAAGGGAATTTCAGAATTCTTGAACATGGAGGTGGTACAACTGTGGTGATGGTAAGATAAAAGGTATGACCATTTTTGTGTGTGGCTAGGTGGCTGAAGGAGTAGCTCATGGGAAAGTAAGTAGGTTAAAGAACTGAGTGGCTAGGGCATTTGAGGGAGAATCAATATGTATGTTGAAGTCCCCTTGTATGAGAGGGGCAAGAGTTGGGCAAGAGAGGGGCAAGGAAAGAAAAATTATAAACCAGGTATCCAACTCATTGAGGACAGAACGCAAGTGATCTAGGAGTCTGTAGAAAACTGCTACTAGAATTTTGAGTGGGTAGTAGATATGAATAGCATGAACCTCAAAGGAAGGGAAATCACTAAGTGAAGGAGGAGGAGAGAGAACCTGGAAATGGCAATGTGAAACAAAGACCATTCCAACTCCTCTGCCTCAACCAGCAAGCTGAGGAGAATGAGTGAAGATGCAGTCAGTACTGGAAAGGGAGGCTGTGTCATCAAGGGAAAGCCAGGATTCAGTAAAAGCTAGTAGATGGAAGCAGTGGGAAAGGAATAGGTGTAAGACGAAGGGAAGTTTGTTGCTTATGGAACAGGCATTCCAGAAGGCACACTGGAAATAGATTCTTCTCTGTCTCTACAATACATGCCAAAATTCTATGATACAATAATAAATAAAAGAATACCAAGAAACTATCATTCATTTTTTCCTTAATCTATTTCCATGAAAACAAAATAAAGGACTAATATTATATGACATGAACTGACCAATATATGCTTAAAGTTTTTTTTAATATTTTCCAATATTTTAAATATTCTACTGCTTTTGTTTGTAGGATTGATCTAATTCATCTTGGAAAAAATGTATTTCTCTTTGGCCCAAACGGTCCACACTTCTTTTCCTAAAGCACAAAAAAAATTAGTTCTTTTCCTTTTTTCATAGCACAAAAGATTAAAATATAAGTTTAATCTTAAGGTTTTTTTTTTAAACCAACAATTTGGGGGGCAAGGGTCTGGACCTGTGATTTCATCATTTTAAGGAACTCTTGGTATAAAAACTTCCTTTAGTAATTGCAGATTAGCAACTAGTATATATGTAATAATTTCAGAGAACTGCCCAGCACTCTGAGGGGTTAAGCCAATTTATCTACAGTCAGACTATGAATCAGAGGCAAGAATGGAACACAGGTCTTTCTAACTTCAAGCCTAGTTCTCAATTCATCATTCCATACTGCCTCTAAACTTTAATTGAAAGAAAAAATGCAATTATTTTAATTGTATAAATGTTACATAAAACAGCAACAAATGTTAAATCTGAAATACATACTTTATACCACATTATCAGTCAGCAGAATGAAGATCTACTTAACCAGGACACCAGAGCTTATGAATACATAATACATGCATGCACGCATACATACACACACACATATATGCACACATATATATTCTTATATATTTGTATATGTGAGCATAAATACATGCATATATGCAAGCACATGCACATATATGTGTATATGTACATAAATAAATATGTCTGAGTTGATAGATATATATCTACACACACATATGGGTGGGTGCCAGGGGAGAAGGTAAGCCTAAAATCAATGTATCATATTCCTCCCTTAAAAACCTGTTGTCTCTAACAGCAATTATATTCATTATAATGACTGGGCTTTAATAGGAAGAATAGACTGTTACAATACTGAGAATCATAATTATACAATAATACATTTTGCAATGTATCAAATGAATCAAACAGCAAACATTTAATAAGCATCTACTATATACCAAAAACTGAGCTAAGAAGCTGATCACACAATGACAAAAATTATACAGTTGCAGCCCTCAAAGAACTTACATTTGAAAGAAACCATTATTTCTCTCTTGTATTAATAACTAATTATTGTATTAGAACCAAGGTGTTTTTTTTTTCCCTTTTCTACTTCCTTATCCAGAAATCAACCAGTGTGGGAAATCTTTCTTAAAGATTTACTCAAGCCAAGATCTAATCAGACAGTAAAAGAAATTCTAAGTTTAAGTTTACGGGTGCATTCCTGCTCAGACAGGTCTGGGAAAGTACTGATTCTCCCCTCTGTCAGACAGGTGATATGTAAATTGATACATCTCTTTGACCAAGACTCAGGAGACCCGAGTCACTACTCCAACACCCTCATTGTAATACAGTCCAGCTTTACATTTTAATATTCATTTTCTCATTAATCATTACCCAATCAGAGTTGACTGTCACCCTCCGGAACACCTGCTCTTCCAAGGGAACAGAAACGGTGAGCCTACCGCCATATAAGGTTTTTGGTTTACATCCTTTTATTAATAAACAAGCTGGCATTATTAACAAATTGATTAAATTACCCAGAAATTATGTCCCTCCAACTTTTTAAAATGCCACACATTGTATTAGGAAAAACAAAATGTACAAATGAAACTCACCTTAAATAGAGTCACAGTGATTTCAATGTTTTCAGGAACAGGCCACACAACCACACCACGGTAAGGATTTTTTATTCCAGGTTGCCAACTATGAGCCTACAGAAAAAAATAACAACAACAATAATAATAATAATAATAATAAATGTATATATGTTAGTTTCACGAGAAAGCACAGCAGAAATGTTATTCCCACTCAGTCCCTATCACATAGGTCGTTTTTACTATATTATTTTAATCTACAAAATAATTAAATATGTATTATACCACTTAGCCATTCTTAAAAATCCATAGTCCATCATCAACTGAAATCATATGAGTAAAATGAACGGTAATTCAATCCACAAGTTAGTAAACTGCATCATTATTTGTAGTCCAATATTTATACAAAAGAGAACAGACCCTCTAATTGCATTTATTCATATAAAATTATAAATTTCTGGAGAAACTAATAACAATAATAACAACTAACATTTCTATAACACTTACTATGTGCCAGGAACTGTGCTAAGTACTTTATAATTATTATCTCATTTGATCCTCACAGCAACCCTGCGATAACAACCTAAGTGCTATTATCCTTCCCATTTTACAGAGTAGGAAACTAAGGCAGAGGTTAAATGACTTGCCCAGCATCACACAGCTAATAAGTGTCAGGCTAGATATGAACTCATGTCTTCCAGAATCCAGGCCCAACACTCTATCTACTGTGTCGGGTAGCTGCCCCTATTAAATATACACTGAGAATATCTTCTGTTAGACTTTACAATCTGAATAAAACAATACCCAAAACAAAGACAAACAAAACTTGTTTGAATGTAAAAGAAACAGACTGACAAAACTTCTTTGGGGTAGGGGAGCAAGGACTAGTACTAGGTGGGGTATGGAATATCTATATTTTATTGATTACATGTGACTTCTGCATATAAAATGAATTATCCCAAGGTCAGAAGCCAGAATGCAGAAGGTTTAGAAAACAGTGAGAGGAGAGGAAGAGGATATAGGAGTGTAGACTGCTTTCTCAAGGACTGTAGCTTAAAAATGGAAGGAGACATACATACATATTGACACTGTCAAATACTCTAGCTTTACAGTTCCTCAGTCTACTTAGTTATGACCTACTTCTCCATTTCACCTTAAAAGGGATAATCAAACTCTTGCTTATGCCTTCACCCACAGGTGTTCTACTTCCATGTTCATAAACTCCAAAATTCCTTACCTGATTATAAATTTTCATCATTCCATCTTTCCCTCTGCTTCAGGAACCCTAACCCCTTTGTCTTTTCCAGGCAAGCACTCTTGAAATGGCTAAATACTTCTCTCTTTCCAATCTTGACCCCTTGTTGAATCAGGTCAACTTCCAAACTATCTGCCATGTTTGAATGTCATTCCCCCTTGACCTATCATCAATTATGCCTTGTGAAACCTCAACTTTGAAATGCTTCCACTATCCACACATGGAACTAAAAAGAATTCCATGTAAATCTTCAATGAAGCAAAGCAATCCTTGCTTGCTTCATAGGTAATACGTTTTCATCTTAAATCATTTCCTTCCTGACTCCTTCAGTTTTCTGGTTTTCAATAAGACCTTGCTCACTCCTAATGACACTGCCTTCATGACCAACCTTTCTAGCACTGGTTGGACTATCATTTATTCATCCAACTCAGTGATCAAGGGGAGAAGTTGGAATATTCCTTGCTCCCCATTGCCAATTTCAGCCTTTTCCTCTATCATCATCTCTCAGGAATCTTTTCTTCTTTGAGGTTCACTCAATCCATTTCTACCACCTAATCAGAATTCTGGTAGTTGCTCCACAGGGACACTCATCTTCTTTTTTCTTCAATGAGGTCAGTCATTGGCTCACAGTCTTTCTCTTCTCTTCAACTCTTGCCCTTATACTAGGGAGATTCAACACACACATACACACACACACACATATGTAGATATGTATGTATGTATATGCATATATATACACATATATACACACACACACACACATATATATATATATGTATTGACAGTCCCTCAAATACCCTAATCTCTCAGTTCCTCAACTCACCTCATTTCACATGATCTAGTTCTCTATCCTAACTTAGGTATACTCACAGATGGCATACTTTTGATCATGGCATAATGCATGAATGAATGTCTACTATGTTCATGTACTCTGATATTCCTTTATCTAATCAAAATCTGTTATGATTCCACCTCTCCCTCTGCCTTGCATCCTCAAACACTGTTTAGTATCCTCACAGTGACCTCCAATCTCTTGATCTGTCAGTTCTTTCCCAGGCTATCACCCAAGCTACACTCTCCACCCTTCTCCATCTAAATCCTATGGTGAACGGGCTCAATTCTACACTGATCTTCTCTCAAGTTACCTTCTCCCTTATAATATTACCTATCTTTCCCTCTTAAGCCTCAGCCTTGGATTACATCCACTGCCTTTGCTCCTGAATGAAGTTGAAGAAAATCACAAAACTATGCTGACTGGGTCCACTAACAAACTTACACTACATAACCTCAGCTGGGTCCTCACTATTCCAACAAATCTTTCCATACCTTGTCTAATTAACTCATCATCCCACTTACCACAGAGGCTTTTCCATGTTTTTCATCCTTTCTCAAATCTCACCCTTCTCCCACCCTTGCCTCACAATTTACTGAAAAAAAATCAAGGCCATTTGCTGAGGGCTTTCTTTTGACATTGTTCCCCATACTGGAGACAGGACCTCATCTCCTCACATCTGGATTACTACAATAGTCTGCTAGTTGGTCTCCCTGACACAAGTCTCTTCCAACTCAATCCAGATTTCAGGGTCTCCAGACACTCATCATTCTGCAAGATGGAATCAACTCTGAAACTCTTACCTCCTCAGCACTCCCTGCCCCTGGGTCCCCTACCTCCCTATGACCAGAAAGGGTGGAATGTGGACATTGGAAACTGTCTTCCTGATCCTCCAAAATTTAAGAAAGACTCTCAGGGAATTCACCTCATCACCTGGATGCTTCTTTGACTTCAGGGTCTCCAGAAACTCATCATTCTGCAAGATGAAATCAACTCTGAAACTCTCACCTAAGTTCATTTCCCTCTGGAGCTACAGCATTTCATCATACTCTCCACAGCAATAACCTCTACTACTCCTTATTTCTCATCTCCACCATTTAAGCTTCTTTGTATGTGTTGTTCCTCCATTAAATAGTGAGCTGCTTGAGCACAGGGACTATCTTATGCCTTTCTTTATATTCTAAGCCTGGCACACTGGAGATACTTAATAAATGTTGATTGACTCTGACTCCTTTGATTGATATCATAACCAAAATGCAGAGCTCTCACATCAAAGCAAAACTATTGCAAACATCCAGAAAAAAAGCAGTTAAAGTACCAAGGAACTACTGCCAGGATCAAAAAGACACCTAGCTGTTCGTATTATAAACAAGAGGAGTTATTAGAATATAATAGGCCAAAAGACAAAAGATACAGGCTTATAAATAATAATTTATTCGGCAAAGCTGAGTATAATCCTACAGAGGAAAAAAAATGAACCTTGAATGGGAGAAGACTTTCAAGCATTTCTGATTAAAAGACGACAGAGGAATAGGAACTTTGAAATACAAAGACAAGACTCCAGAAAAACCTAGAAAAGTAAATTTATCTGAGTAATTGAAAGGAAATATATGATTTTCCGTAACTGGGGTACATGAGAAAAATATATAAATATGGTAGAAGGGGTAGGGATAGTGAACATCAGATAAACCTCACTCACCTAAAATGAACAGAGTAGGGTTCAAAACACACACACATACATACACATACATACATACATACACACACACACACACACACACACACACACACACACACACACACACACACACACACACACCCCAAGAGTTTGGTGCATCAAACTTACAAGGGAAATGAGTAAAATGGGGGAGGGGAAAGAGCATAATATTGGGAAGGGCATAGTAATAAACAAAATAAATGATCTGACCCTGAAGAAGAAAAAAAGGGTCGAAAGAAAAGAACTAGAACCTAAGGAAATATTTTAGACTGCTTTTTAGACAACTGGGAAATGGCTGTACAAATTGTTGTAAATGAATTAAGAGAATATTATTGTGCTATAAAAAATGATGGGGGGAAATGATTTCCGAGAATGCTGAGAAATACTAACTGATACAGTGAAGTAAGAAGAATCAGCAGCATATGTAAGGCCAGCAACACTGTAAAGAAAAACAACTTTGAAAGAATTAAGAAATCTAATCACTGTAATAACTAATTATGCCTCCAGAAAAGCTAAGATGAAGTGCTAGACATAAAGGGGGGAGAGAGAGAGAGAGAGAGAGAGAGAGAGAATTTTTTTTTTAACATGTTCACTGTGGGGCTTCCTTTGCGTAACTCTACATTGGAGTAAGAGTTTAGGAGACAGTAGTTAGCAATAGTGATAGTGATGCTTAAAAAAAGGGGTCATTGAAATTTTTGAGGTTCAGAAGACAAATGAATAAGACAGTTCTGACAGTATTATGTAGAATTTATTACATGCATTTTTTAAAAAATGAAAGATTTGTGGTATCAGGTAGAATATTCTGTGTATTGTTGTGTCTGTAAATGTTCTTTTCTTTGTTTTTTATGTTTAGAATAAAATATATATATATCATTTCAAGATCTATGATCTACCTTCCAAACTTCTCTTATAACTGAAATTGCCAAAACTAATGACTTTTTCTAAATCTTCATCCTTTTTGACCTCTCTATAACCTTTGACACATCCTCTTCTCCTGGATACTGTCTCCTCTAGATTTTCATGAAACTGCTCTTTCTCGTTTCTTCTCCTACTTATCTGACCACTCCTTCTCAGTCTCCTTAGCTGGATCTTCATCCAGGATATGCCCAAGGTAGGAAACAGAAAGGTACCTATAGATTGAGATTATAAATAAGGAGAAAGAAGGGGAGATAGGAATTGGGAAAGGCAAACAATAACTGAGCATTTATTATATGGAAGGCACAGCACCAGACTAGTCTCTGAAAAAATAAGAGTGCAGGGAAATGAAATATTATATATAGGAAATTGTCTGCCTAGGAGGAAGTGTATATGAA